CCAAGTAGCTGGGACCACAGGCGCCCGCCACAACGCCCGGCTATTTTTTGGTTGCAGCCATCATTGTTGTTTGGCGGGTCCGGGCTGGGGATTCGCACCCGCCACCTTAGGTGTACGTGGCTGGCGCCTTAGCCGGCTGAGCTATAGGCGCTGAGCCGTGCTTTTTAACTAAATCAAATTCTTAGAAAACTCTCTCTACTTGAGGCGAAAATAAAAGAAAAGAGACCAGTCCCAAGGTGAGGGGGAGAAGGAGGAAGCCAGTGAAGTCATCTTCCACTCACAGGCTGGCCTGGTTCACCCAGGCCCACCCAGGTCTACCAGCTAAGCCCACATGTGAGGATGTGTCAGTTTGCTTTCCTTCCCCAGAATGTGTTGACACAGGCATCTTTTTTCACACTTGATAAGTAACAAAGAAACCCCAAACTTGGAATTGATCCTCAAAGATTTCCCAACACCACTGTCTGTGCTTTCCCCAGCCTGCTGCTTCAGGCAACCTGAGGCTATCCCACCGCCCTGGGGGTGTGGAGGGAGAGGGGCAAATGTAGGAGCAAGCTCCAACCCGAGAGTAATTGGGATGGAATCCCATCTGGCAATGCAGGCAATTTCTCCAGTTTCAAAGGGATTCTGAGTTTGCCTGGACTTCTGCAAGTATGAGACAATGTGATAAGCATTTCCTAAGAACTCTGGAGACATACTAAAGAGGTCTGGAATCCTCTCTTTGCCTCTTGCTCTTCTTCTCCATCTTGTCTCTCCCATATCTTGTAGGTTTTCTCTCTATTTTCCTTTCCTCTTTATTCCTTTCCCCCCTCTTTTTCTGTTCCTTCCCCCACTTTCTTCTCTGATCTCCTTTGCCTTTCTCCTCTTCTCTGCATTACCCACCTGCCTTCTCTTTGTTCCTCACTCCCAGCCCTCCACCCAGAAAGGACCATTTGGTCCCTCTTTTGTTACTGCACATCACCACTGCAACACACATGCCACATATATGTTGACAATGACCTGAGGGTCACTGTCACTGGCAAGCTGACACTTTTGGTCCTGGGACTATGGAGACTCCCGTTGCTTTCCAGCAGAGGCCAGCCAGTGACAGCTTCCTCCAGAAGGTCTTTGTGCATGCCTCCCACATTTGCTCTCCGTACCTGCCCCAGATGTTAATGTTTCTGACCAAAGAAGACAGGGGGGAGAGTCTGTAAGGCACACATTTGGTCCAACTGCAAGAGGAACCATAGGACTTTTCTGGGCTGGACAACCACTGTGACATTTGTGGCATCATAAATCTCTCTAAGGCGAGAAACACAGGAGGTAAAATTTCAAGAATCACCATTTTGGGAGGATGTCAGAGAACAAAGCTTTCAATAGAAAAAAATCAATAGCCAGAAGGAGGTCACCTTCCACAGCAACCACACCAGTCTTCTTTCATCTGCCTCAGCTGGTCTCAAGATTCTCCACAGATCCAGGCCATACGGAGCTGTAAAACAAGGGCGAGGTATTCACCATAGATGGAGTTGCAACAGGAGATGGGGAAGGTGAGCTGCACAGTTGGGAAGATTTGCTTGAGAGAGCCAGCAGAAGCAAGGTGGAGAATGGAGGGCTGGCAGCTTTGCAATGACCAGTGACATCTTCTTTTTGTGGTTAGAGGACTAGAATCAACTGTTCTTGGGTTTCAGGACTTAATGTAAGGTAAAGAAAAGTATAACAAATTACACTGTAATAAAATTTGTCACCCAAATCTGTATTAAAATGTAACCACCTCATGTCTTCTAGATATAACATCTATCTACATTAAAGCTGGGACTGACACATATAACTGACAGGGAGATACAGGTACATTTATGTAATTTACACCATGTCTACTTCTAAAAAAATGAAATTGGATATTCATAATGTTATAAAATATAAGAAAAAATTAAGTAAGATAGGAACTGACAATCTTCACTAAGTCCCTCTCTAAGGTCTAAATTTAATGCTGGTCTTCCCAGCAGGAAGAGTAAAACAGAACCACATTGAGTTGCATATTGTTCATGGTCCAATAAAAAGAAGCAAAGAAATTCCTATGAAGAGGCAATTACTTTCTGTCTATGAATACTGAATTCCTAAATGGAAATTATTGTGTAGATTCTTTCAAAAACAACACAGGGTAACGTACAGGATAATGTCTGCATTCACAGTTGAGCAAAAGCACAGAAAAACACATATGTACATTTGTTGTTACTATTTTCTACAAAATGCCAAAGCATGAGTCCGGGCTTATGGCTTTCTCTAGTAGACAACATAATCTACGATAACATTTGTATAACTGTACAGACTTCTGATGATCTAACTGTACAAAGATAAAATTTACAAAGACAAGAAATTTACATTTCACTTGACCTCTGAAGTGTATATCTCAAATATGAGGTTGGACAATTAATTTTGTGAACTCATTCTAGAAAAAGGGCTACATACCTCATGGCTGAACATCACCAAGGTCACCTGGAAGTACTCCCCAGCCATCTGCTGACTGCAGTGATGGTCAGCAATGAGGCAGGGAGCACTTTTTCTAGGATGAGTTTGAGAACTTAATTGTCTGACCTCCTATGTCTCAAGCAAGTTTGGGGGGATGAATCACTGGCAGTCTACCATTAAATGTCTTGGCAGGTCCCTGAAATGTCAAAATGCTGAGCTGCTGATTAAAGAATGAACCACACACTGTAGCCAGGAGAGGAAAGCACAGAGAACTGTCCAGAGCTAGTGGCCTGCTATTTGGAGAACAGACTAAATGTCCCTATCAAAGCTGTAATTGTCACCCTCTGAATCTTTTCCTGAGGAACTCATATGGCTAGAGATGATGTAAACAGGTCCTGAAAGAATAGAGTCTATCATTCAGGCCAAGACCTAAACTATTTCAGTACTGAGAGATCATCTTCAGGGATTTTTTTTTGCAATTTTTGGCCGGGGCCAGGTTTGAACCCCCCACCTCTGGTATATGGGGCCGGCACCATACTCCTTGAGCCACAGGTGATGCCCCTTTAGGGATCTTTTTAACTTCAGGTGATTGGGTATTTTAAAGTGAAATTACTGAACTCCTACTAAAGATAACCACATGATGGAGAAATATGTACCAAAGGGCAGGTAAGTCAATGCCTTGTTTGATCATCACATTTCTACAACTATTCTCACAGAAGCCCAGGGTCTCTCAATGAGATCTATCATAATTCATTTAAATTGCTTATAAGGAGATTGGATATGACCTCATCTGAATTCCATTGAGGTGTGTCTTAAAAGCTCTGCAAGGAGTTTTCTGATTTCCCAAAGGTTTTTACTGAATCAGAAGACAGGATAGTCAGCGCTCAACTTTCTCACACAGGGAACAACTGCTGGTTTCAGTGAGATACAGGCAGTGGCAAAGTTCCTCCCAGAAACAGTCCTAGCAGAGGGTGACAGTCATTAGAACTTCAAAGGTAACCCACAGAATTAGAAGAACTCTTACTCTGTCTCTAACCTGCAGAATCTCTCTGTTCTAGCCATGTGAAAGGTCAAATTCAGGGATAATAACTTTGAGAGTAAGAAAAAACAGTTGAAAGACAAAGTGTTCATTCCTATCCAGTCTTAAATATTCATCTCAAGGACAGACATAGTCAAAAATAGTTTAGTAAATAATCATTCCAGGTACTAGACTAGAAATATGAGTGAAATTCTTATATTTAGACCATAGCCATTTGGATTTAGTAGACAGTAATAATGAATTGAATTGAATTGGATATTTTCCTCTTTCACTGAGGCCACTATTTCCTGCAATTATTATCCAAAGAGAAACAGTCTTCCCAACATAGCCTTCCCACAGATATAGCTTTTAGTGAAATCATTGCTTGACTAGTACATAAATCTTTTACAGTTATTATAACCAACTTTCCATTACCCAAGAGTTTAGAATGGATTTGCAGTTTAATCAGAAGGGGGAAAGTAATGTATACCTATACCTTGCAGAAAAAAAAATAAGAATTTCACAAATCAACCCAAATATCTACATATTCAAAGGCATCAATGTTCTGAACTGATGAACTAACCATCTGATGCCATATTATATGCCCACAACCACTACCAACCAGACACATACTGATACCCTTGTTAAAAACCAACGATGACAGCTAACCTTCAGTAAGTGTCATTTTACCTGAATTATCTCATTTAATCCCCACTGCCCTGTAATTATTTATAGAAATATTACTGTTCCTATTTTTGAAGCACAGAAAAATCAAGCAAATGTCCAATATCACAAGCTTTTAATAAAGCCATAATTTGAATCAAATTATATCTGCATCACGTAGTAAGTAGGTGTTTAAATGCCTAAATGTAATAACTCTAATAATCAATACGCTGAAATCCAAAAGGACATAGGTAGTGCTTCACATTCAACTTAGAATACAAGTTTTCTAACAATGAGAAAGGTTTGAGGTGACATGCATTAAACAACTGGCATGTCATTGAAATAGGGAAACAGATGGTTTATGAATTGGAAGAAGAAATTAGGATATGCTGAGGGGGAGTACATTTTCATCAGTTTCCTCTGGGATCTTGAAAAAATAGAGAAACACAAATGCAAAAGTTTTCTAGTGGTGGTGACTTTGATTATGTTGCTTTAGTTCAATTAGAAAAATGCACAGAGAACACCAGCATCTAATCAAGCTAGCGGAACTAATAAAGCAGATAAAGTAGTAAATCTTGTTTCTGGCAGCAGAATAAGTTGAGGAAACTGACCTTAGGAAGTGAATGGATGGTGCTGAGCTGGACAGACTTGAGACTTTGAGCCATAAGGACATCAGGACATCACTAGAGAGAAGAGTGACAGCCAAAGAGGGGAAAAGAGCCGGGCAGAGCCCCAGCACACCTGAGGCAGCGCTTAGCTCCCAGACTGCCTGCTGAAGGTGGGCCAAATGCTCGATGATCCTTCACAAACACCTCCAGTGGGGAATACAAAATTCAAAAGGAATCAAGTTGGTTCCAAACATCTGACTATAGAGGTGAACACACCAAGACATCTGTCAATACTCAGTCTTGTGGAAAACTTAGCCAGGGTCCAGGGGAATAAATTATCACATGGATGAGGGAGCACAGAGGTTGTCCCCAGATGTTACCTGAGACCAATGTGGGACTTGGTATGAGACTGAAATCTCATTTTCTATCACAACCTGGGTCCCCACAATTGCCTGAAATCATGGCCATGGGGGATTCATGCTGTAACCCATTCCTCATAAATAAATAAGGTGAAAGCCTTAAAGGAAGGTTAGAAAAGTGGACATTATTGTATTTCTTTTCCATAATTCAGCAGATGACTTGCAGATATCACCAAATATTCATTTAATGAATCATTCATTCATTGTGTTAGGCTAAAAAAAATGGCTCCCAATGATACCTAGGTCCTAATCCCTGAAAACTACGAATGCTTCCTTATGTGGCAAAAGGACCTTTACAGAGGTAAGTTAAGGATCTTGTGATGGGGACAGTATTCCAGATTCTCTAGATGAGCCCTAAATATGGCCCAAAGTTCCTGTAAGAGGGAGGCAGAGAAATTTGACACAGAAGAGGGAGAAAAGTAATGTGATGATGGATTTATAAGCCTTGTAGCTGGAGAAAGGAGCTATAAGCAGAAGAATACAGGCCACCACTAGAGGCTGGAAAAGGTGAGGAAATATATTCTTCACTCAGAGTCTCCAAAAGGAAGCCATGCAGATACCTGGCTTCAGCCCAGTGAAACCAATTTTGGACTTTTGACTCCTAGAACTATGAAAATAAATCTGTGTTGCTTTATGCCCCTAAATTGGCGATAATTTGCTTTAGCAACAATAGGAAAGTAATACATTGATCATTTATTGGTCATCCACTGGGGGTCAGGCACTAAACTGAGCAAGGCTCTTAAGAACAGTAACACACCCTGAGTGACCCAAGACATTTACTGTTGTCTCTGAAACTCAGTTCCCTTACCTCCAAAATGGGGCGACTACATATTTTACAGGGCTCCTAGGAAAATGTATAGTAATAATAGGATGATAAGTAATAAGAATAAGAAATCTAGCATTTAGTGAATGTTTACTATGGGCTACACACATTATTTCATTTTCTCTTTAAAATCACACTAAACCAAGGCAGGTGTAGGCAAAGCTGCTCAGGGGAGGGTGTACTGAGGGCAAGGGCTCCCAGTTGTGTATCAGAGGCTCCCAGTGGGTGCTGCTGAGCTCACTTCCCACCAGGTGTTCCTTCTCTTTTTCTTCTGTGCTGTCCTTTCCAGTTGGGAAGCACTTCCCCACCTGCCCATGGGGCTCTCTCTCCAGTTTTTCCTTCAGCACCCAACTCACAGGGCTCCTGGCCTATGCGATCTCTCCTGCACTCCTATGAGAGCCTTCCTTCCTCCTTTGGGTCCTGCACCTCTGTAGGCTCCTCCATTCTCTGTCACACAGAGTCAGCATCAGGGAGCTACCTGCTTCATCTTCGGTTGACTTGTGAGCTTCTTGTGGCATGGATCTGTCGGCTTCATCTTTGTACCCCAAGAACCCAGCAAGCACCTCGCCAGGCTGTAGGTGCCAAAAGTTGTCGTGGAGGCCAATGAACACACACAAAATCCTGGAGGCTGAGAAACTCCACATTGATAACAGCAGCTGCGCTGGCTGCCTCATTGCCAATATCTTTATTTAAAATCGGGGCCCTATCTTTCCTCCTAAGCTTTTTGCTGATGACATTGTCTCATCACTGTTTTCTTCCTGGTGCCACGTTCCTAGGGAGGTGAGACCCCATTTCTAGAAGCCATTTGCCCCCACCAATTTTTCATCAAAATCCCAGGGACTGCTTTCTATTAGTGGGATTCTAATATTTGCTGACAGTAGGAAATGGAGAAGGAGATTTTACTCAACTATCTGTTGTCTTGGTTTTTACTGCTTTCCTTTTTTTTCTTTTTAATTTGGAGAAATATTTCTAGGCAATTTATTGCCTGCTGGGTTAGGAGCAGAGCCATTATCTGGCACAGAAAGAATTTGCACATGAGGACATGGTAGAGAGAGGCTGCCAGAGTACTTAATATTTATTATTCCTCTACTGGCGAGGGTTTTATTGAAAATCAGAATAAAGAAGTTGGCCTATGTTTAAAAAATAAAAATAACACTAAAAATTATGTACTGCTATAAATTCAATTTGCAAATTATATTTCAATATGAAAAAAGGAATAAATAGTGAAGTAACAGCTCAGAGGAGACTTAGAGAATACTTATCTTGTCCAAAGCCGCTGCAGGGCCAGGTTACAATTTAAGCCAAACCCACTGCCAGGAGCATTGCTCTTAACGGCCACATGTGACATGTGGTAAGTGCTCAACCAATGTGCAGACTCTTGTCTGTCTTTCTCACTGTCGTTAAAGATGTGACTTTTTTTCTTTCATTAGTTAGACTTTTACTTATTTTTTCAGTGGTAGTTCCAAGGTTAGCAATATATATCTTTAATTTATCAAAGGATACATTTAAGGGGTCTGATACTACTTCACTTATAAGAACCTTAGAAGAGAATTAAAGATGTAATCCTTTGCTTTGGGGCAATTCCCCAGACCCCAAGATCGTGTCACCCTGTGATTCCCAACTGGGGCAGGTGGCAAAATCCACCAAGTCTAGCTGGTGGCAGCCCTACACAGAGCAGGCAGAAGAGAAATCACAGGGGCAGCTTGCCTTCTTCCTCGGTGATTCCCATTTCTTCTTGGCTCCAGGCGCTCCAGAGCCTTGACTCCGTAGTCACACACCGCAGAGCTACGACATACTCCGTGAAAGCCTGTAGCCCGGTGAGGTTGTAGTTTTGGGTGGCATTGAAATGATACTCAGTGAAGTTAACTTCCATCTACAAGACAAAGACAACTGTGAGCTGACATGGAGACAGCACATGTCATCGGTCCATTTTTCCTCTTCACGCCCAATGCTTTCTTACCTTTTCAGAATTAGAAACTCTCTAGCTCAAATTTTAACATACATAAATTTCATCAAAAACTTCCACATGTGTCTGGGAATAATTGGCACCTACACAGATATGAATCCCCCTCCTCCCCCCAACCACCTCCTTCCCCATTTCCTGTCTCTAAGTTTGCAGGGTTGAGACTCCTGCCTCTGGACTGGTCTAAGTGAACCCAGGCCTACTGCTTGCTATTCTGGAATATTCAAGGCAGAGCCCAGTGACCTGGGGCAACCTAGGAGGTGACTTCAATACCTAGAGATTCAGCTTCATGGAACAGCAGAAGACACAGACCCTAGCTGAATCAAATTCAATCATGTAATGACCTGGACCCAGGAAAATTAAAGGACTGTTTCAATGAAAGTTAAATAATTAGCAGAACTAGTACCAGAACACAAATTTCTTCACTCCTTGGCTCTTTCCCTTTACCAAAATCTCTTCTTTCAAACTTTGAGTGATAAGTCAGTGAAGCTGCTGAAAGTCTCCACAGCCTGAATGTATACATTCATTCTGACTCTCTTAGAGAGGGGAGAGGTAAATAAGTCAGTTCTCATCTCCTGATGATAATTTCTCATTAGTAAAATGAAGGTGTTACTTTATATAATTTCCAAAGTCCCTCCTGGACCCAGCCCTTTAAGGGAAACTAAAAATTGAGCTATTCCTTTTTGAACACAGTTAATGTTGCTACAATATAAAAAAATTAGCTATTGGCTTATAAAACTTGAGCTGATAAAAACAAGCTGCACTAAGAAGTATGCCCACTTGCTCGCGTGCGCACAGCTCAGACCATGGAGCCCTACAGGAGAAGGAAATCCTGATATTTCTTACATCTGTGAGAAAGCTGTGGAAATTAGTACCAAATTACAGCTCCTGAGCCTGAAGAAAACTGGGGAGAAGGAGGAGATATGTCTGTGGCAGGAAGCCAAATTCACTGCAGATAGACACTGGTGAGATGGGTGTGGAGCAGGGAGAGGCAATGACAGTTTTGCTGCTGAATCTTGGGTTCTCTGAGCATCCTCTCCAAACCACCCCTGGGGATGCTGTAGCAGCAGACTGGGGTTGTGGGGAGCATCACTTGGTACAATATGTCATTAGTTATGGGGTCCAGTTGGCACAGAATTAAAACCATTAGGAGAGGCCCAATCATAAGGTGCCCTCCATATATAATGCAATATAAAAATAATACTAACCCATACAGTGGGTCAAGGAGATCTAATAATACTCTATTTTACTTTTCATGCTTAAAAAAAAGTATATGATATTCTTTCTTTAAAAACCTTTCTAAGTTTTCCTTCTGCTTTGCTCTTACCCTTAGCACATGCTTGGCCTGCTTGGTGGGTAGCTATCACCATGTTGGTGCTCAGAGAACTCTGCCTAATGCATAGGCACAATTCTAACTCTGCCAGACTTCCCAGTCCCAGCCTCAGAGGAAACTACAAAAGCTGCACTGTCTTTCAAACAATGTCTTTATGGCTCCTTTTTACCTTGGCTTTTTATCTAGTTGAGGTGCCTTTGGTCCTCACAGGGTCCAAGATCAACTGATCCTTAATTTACAGGCTTAGAACTAAATATTCCACAACTCAACACAGGCAAGGGAGTCATACTGAAACACTAATTAGCTTCACCAGGTTTGTTTCTAATAACCTATCCTTTGTGCCAAATCCTAAAGTGTTTGTCTTAAGAGATGAGTCAGAAAAGGCCTAAATCAAACAGTCTTGAGATCCCTTTCTAGGATGTTGATATGATTTCATTGTGTAAAGGTGCAAGCCCTCTAGACTAGGACCCCAGGAAGATCTGGAGAGTGCTGAAGTATGGTCACATGAATGACAAACCCGGAGTTAGAAAACTTGGGCTTAGGTTTACAACTTATAAACCTTATGACCTTGGACAGATCATTTAATCTCTCTACATCTCAATTTCCTAATCTGTCAAAATGAAGATAGCAAGGCCTCATTGATAGAAAACTCGCTAGGCTTTAAATAATTTGGAGAGTAAGAAAGTACTTTGAAACCTATATAATATCATACAAATATGGGTCTTGTTATATGGACATTTGGGGATTTTAGGATTCGTTTAAACCAACATTTATTGAGCATAGGCATGTGCCAAGCAAAGGGAAAACAGAGATGAAAATCAAGGTCCTTGCATTTGAAGACCTTGCAGTCTAATTGGGAGAGAGATAAGTTTAAACGTTTAGTTGTTAAGTGTGATGTGAGAGGTGAGGCAGGCAGAGAAGGGGCACCAGGCTCTGGCGCTCAGACAAAATATGCCACACCCGAGTTCTGAAAGATCAATGGATGGGGGCGAGAGCAGAGGTGCAAAAGCAGAGGATGTTCTAGGGCAGTGGTTCGCAACGTTCCTAATGCCACAACCCTTTAATACAGTTCCTCATGTTGTGGTGAGCCCCAACCATAAAATTATTTTCCTTGCTACTTCATAACTGTAATTTTGCTACTGTTATGAATCGTAATGTAAATATCTGATATGCAGGATGTATTTAGGCAACCCCTGTCAAATGGTCGTTCGATACCCAAAGGGGTCACAACCACCTGAGAACCGCTGCCTAGGGAGCAGCACAGAATATGGAGACAACATGATGCAGAGGAAACAAGCCATGCAGAATTACTAGAGAGGCAAGAGCAAGGTGGAAGATGAGCTTGAAGGGATGGCTGGGGGCCAGGTCTCAGAGAGTTAAGGACTCAGACCTTCCTCCACTGACAGACGGTTGGGAAGGGCTGGATTGGTTTAGCTGGGTTTAGAACCAAGGAGACTTGTTTACCTTTGAAAGCTGAAAGGACAAAGCGGGTACTAGCTGCACATCCCACCTTCCTTCTCATGTCCTCCAGGAGAATAGGAGGAAGGACATCTTACCTTGAGGACTGGAAGGAAGGCGGGAAAGATGCAGGATGCCTACAGCTGAAATAGTTTATGCTTGTTGTTCTCAGTGTTGTACCAGGTTGAGTAATATTCCAGGAGGACAAAGGACCTGGTTTGTTTTTCGTGTTGAATCCTACCTGAGCAGCCATAGTGACTCTGGGCTCAAACAGAAGGATCAAGGATTCCCAGCCAGCAGATCATCGTAGAAGTTCCTTTGGTTCACTGAGACCATGATATGTGGGATGAAGGAAGATAAGCTTGTGCTATGCTGGGGACCACCCTGCTTAGCGGTTCCCCCAAATACAAATCAAGGAGTCTATTGTTACCAGTAGTCAGGTTCAAGGAAAATGCTTCCAGAGCTGGCTTAGAAAGGAAGTTGGGAGGAGGATTGGCCAACATGATTTCTCTAAACATACGGCAAGTAAAGCTTAACCAATTTTCTTTCCTGAAGATGTTCTAGACCAGGACAGTAACAAACATGGCCATCTATGGGTTTCCACAAAGGCAAGAGTCCCATGATAGCCTTCTGGACAACATGAAAAAAGTAAGCTGCATGACTGCAATTAGGTATCTCCATAAAAACCTGAATAGTTGATCACCCCTCAAAAAAGGAGGGGTTGATTCTCTGGATGGTCTCTACTGGCCTTACATAGGGTTCTGATGTAATCACTATTTTTATTAATAATTAATAAAGATGTAGAAGTATCAAATCTGAAGATACCAAAAAGTTAGGAAGTAAAAAGTTAACTACAAGTTTGGGCAATCAAATAAAGATTCTGAATAGGCTGAAATGATGGAAAAGACCAATATTAAGAAATTCAATAGGAATAAATAAAACATCTAACTTGGGTTAAAGACAACACATTATAGGCTAGTAGAGATGTGTTTTACTAGCAAGTCTTGGTGTTGGGGACTCTTAATAATTTAATTGGCTAGTAATTGATTAAGAATCAATAGTGTGAGAAAGGCTCTGTGCAATGGCTCACACCTGTAATCTTAGCACTCTGGGAGGCCAAGAGGGATGTATTGCTTGAGCTCACAAGTTCAAGACCAGACTGAGCAAAAGTAAGACCCCCAACTCTACTAAAAATAGAAAAACTGAGGCAAGACGATTGTTTGAGCCCAAGAGTTCGAGGTTGCTGTGAGCTACGACACTATGGCACCCTACCCAGGGTGACAGCTTGTGACTCTGTCTCAAAAAAAAAAAAAAAAAAGATGTGATTAAAAGGTGATATCATTTCAGGCTGTACTGATGGAGATGGAAAATATTTTCAAATATCTTCTGGACTTTGAGGTAAGATTTCTTAAGACACAAAAGGTATTAAGAAAAAAGGAAAAGACTGATAAAATTGACAGTATAAAAAAAGTTCTCATCGAAAGTCACAATTAAGAGTGTGAAAAGGCTCGGCGCCTATAGCTCAACCGGCTAAGGCGCCAGCCACGTACACCTAAGGTGGCGGGTTCGAATCCCCAGCCCGGACCC